TAGGGAAATTAATTTAGTTTCTATATTCTGAACTCACTTTCCTTGTTCTGGAGGATGTAAACACAAATTACTTTTAATCAAGGTTGATATGCTATTAATACCAAGGAGGATCTTTGAAGAATCATTTTTTAAAAATCGAATTTAGCATTTTTCACTTGTGCTTGGGATGCAAATACAGGAAGGTAACTTATATCATCCTCACTTTCCAGATTCTTTGTCCACGACAAGGCACTGTACCAAATGGCGAAGACAATAGATTCCACCAAACACTGCACACATCCTAGGAAGAGAATAGGAAAATGAGGATTAGAATTCTTGAGTTGAAAATTAGGGTAACATAATATTCTTTTAAATATCTAACATTTAATAAATTTAATTGGTCTTAGAGAAAAAAGATTTTGACAATTTATTACCTTTTCTATCATGGTATTAAGAATCTCTCAGAGATAAGATTAGTAATATTTTAATGCAGCACAGGTAATAGTGCTAATAATACAATGTGGAAGCCTAGAATTGAGACCAAGCCAAAAGTGTCCCTAAGCAAAGCTCAGCTACCCCCAACACCAAACCAGCTACTGACTGAGATACATAGGCTACAAATAGCCTCAAGAGGTGATGAATGAGACCCCCCCACCACCCACAACAGAAGTGACCGCAAAGAAATGTTACGGAAGAAACAAGCAGGGAAAGCTCTGGAGATTTACCATAAAAGTAAGCAAAAACTAAATCGGGAACTGAAAACCAGAGCAGTAAGCACAAGAGTTAATGCTACAGAAGCTCTAAGGAGTTTGCCTAACTCATGAATCTAAGGGCTGGGGTTTTAATGCCCGCCCACGTAGGGAAAAGAGAGGCCTTAGGATCCAAACAAGGCAGGGAGTAGAGTATAAGATATTCTCTAACAACACCTGGATCCTTAAAAGGACTCAGTGAAAAGGTGATCGAGGTAGAAAATCCAATGACTACAAGAGAGAGAAAACATAAGAAATTGTTTTACCTAAAGCCCTGTGTGGAAGAAGATATATATATACCTCTATATTTATAACCAGTGGTCTGCTCTCACACAGGTCGGGAAATTGAAATTACACTACTACATGATCCAAGAAACCCTTAACCAATAAAACAGCACTAAAGTGGCTCTGGGTCAATAGTACCCCCTGGAAACTTGGTGGAAGCAACCGCTAAAACTTTCTGGAGCAATATGACCTCAACCCAGGCCACATGAGATTGTCACAGAGTTCCCTTATGATGAGATTATAATCTAAAATTATACAACAGATGAAGAAACACATCTTATCCTGAGTGAGAATTATTGGACACAATAAACAGCAGGATTAGATTCCCAAAACACTTTACTCAGATAGTAGAGCTATCAGAGATTATAAAATGGGTATGCTTAAAAGGGATGAATTAAAAACATAAGAATGGGGGCTTCCCTGGTGGCGCAGTGGTTGAGAGTCCGCCTGCCGATGCAGGGGACATGGGTTCGTGCCCCGGTCAGGGAAGATCCCACATGCTGCACAGCGGCTGGGCCCGTGAGTGATGGCCGCTGAGCCTGCACGTCCGGAGCCTGTGCTCCGCCACGGGAGAGGCCACAACAGTGAGAGGCCTGCATACTGCAAAAAAAAAAACAAAAAACAAAAAAAACATAAGAATGATGGAAAGTCCAGGAAGAAGACTGTGGTAGGCTGAATAATGCCCCCATGACAGATGTTCACATCCTAATCCCTGCAACATGTGGATATGTTCTCTTACACAGCAAGAGGGTCTCTAAAGACGTGATTAAATTAAGGATCTTGAGCTGGAGAGGTTATCCTGGATTATCCCAGTGGGTGCGGTGTCATCGGAAACGTACTTTAAAAAAGGAAGCAGAAGGGTCAAAGTCAGTGAAGATTTTGAGGATGGAAACAGAGGTCAGAGTGATGCTACTGCTAGAAGGGGGTCACAAGCCAAGGAATATAGGGGCCCTATATAAGCTGGAAAAGACAAGAAACAAATTCTCTCCTAGAGCCCCAAGAAGGAAGATAGCCCTGCCTACCCATTTTAGACTTCTGACCTCCAGGACTATAATATAATAATTTGTATGGTTTTAAGCTAATAAGTTTGTGGTGATTTGTTATGGCAGCAATAGCAAACTAATATAAAGACTTCTAAGTATATGAATATGATTATGACAGACGTGGCATTACAGACCAATGGGGAAAGAATGGACCACTGAACAAGTGGTTTTGAGACAACTGTTTTACACCATATTCAGAATTAATCTCAGGTAGATGAAAGGTATAAATATAAAATGCAAAGCTTCTAGAATATAGGAGGATATACATCTGAGCTCAGGGGAAAGAAATATTTCTTGAATAAGATACAAAAAGCAAAATCATAGAGAAAATCTTGAAAAAAATGAAGTATTTTAAAATTATAAACATCTGGACAACAAAAGAAAAGGAAAAGCCACAGGCTAGGAAAGATATGTGCAAATATCTTACAAATTATTTAAAAATATCAGTTTGGATAATAATTTGGCCATGTCTAATAAAGTTGACGATGCATAAGCCTACAGTGCAGCAATTCTATTAGGCATAAATCTTACAAAGACTCTCAGACACATATACAAAAGAAGACATGTATAAAAATATTTGTTGTTGCATTTTTTTTAGACAGCAAAACACAGTGGTTATGGGGAAGGATTCTGACTGCCTGAGTTTATACCTCAGCTATTCCACCTACTGACTGTGTGACCTTGAACAAGGCATTTAGCCTCTATGTATCCTATTTTCTTCATCTGTAGAATGAGAATAATAGTATTTATATCACAGAGGATTCTTCTGGGAATTAAATGAGTTAATATTTGTAAAGAAGCTACACAGTGCCTGTCATACAGTATTACATAAAGCATTCATTAAATAAATATAGGTACTACTTGATATACATCACATGCAACCCAAATGTCCATCAAGAGGAGAATGAACAAAAGAAAATGTGGTATATTCATATGTGTAATAAAGAATTTAACCTGGCCCACAAAGACGTCCGGCCTTTGTTCTTGACTTCTGGGAGGTTATCTCTAAGCCCTTGGAACGCCAAGCCTAAAAGAAGTGTCCTTGTTTGTGTGTAGCCCTTGGGTCACCAGACAGTCTAACAATATGACTTAGGGTGAGGGCTGGCCACACCAGAGAGTCTTAGGGTGGGGACTAGTCATGCCAGAAATACCAAAGTGTGATTTAGGGTGGAGACTTTGGGAACTGTGGTATTTCAGTTAACCTCTGGTGGGGCTGGAGACTGAGATCAGCCCCATGGGCAAGTCAGTCACACCTGAGTGATGGAGCTCCAATGAAAACTCTGGACACTGAAGCTCTGCTGAGCCTCCCTGGTTAGCCATCCTCTGTGCATACTGCTATACATCAATAAGAGGAGAATAACACGGGGAGAGGACAACTGAAAGCTCCACATTTGGAACCCCCCTGTACTCTATCCTACACACTTCTTCCCTTGACTGATCTCAAGCTATACCCATTCCCTGTAATAAAGCATAATGGTGGGGCTTCCCTGGTGGCACAGTCGTTGAGAGTCTGCCTGCTAATGCAGGGGACACGGGTTCGAGCCCTGGCCTGGAAGGATCCCACAGGCCACAGAGCAACTGGGCCCGTGAGCCACAACTACTGAGCCTGCGCGTCTGAAGCCTGTGCTCCGCAAGGAGAGGCCGCGATAGTGAGAGGCCCGCGCACTGCAATGAGGAGTGGCCCCCGCTCGCCGCAACTGGAGAAAGCACTCGCACAGAAATGAAGACCCAACACACCCAAAAATAAATAAATAAATAAATAAATTTTTAAAAATAATAATAAAAAATAAAGCATAATGGTGAGTTAACAGCTTTTAGTGAGTCGTGGGAGTCCCTCTAGTGAACTATCAAAACTGAGGGTCGTTTTGGGAATCCCCCAAACATGCAGTTTGTGTCAGAAGTGTGGGAGGTCTTGTGGGGACTACACCTTCTAACTGTACAGTTGGCTTAATCTCTCACATTGTACTACGGAATACTATAAGCAATTTAAATGAATGAACTACAGCCCCATCTATCACCAGGGATATATGGCAAAAACATAAAAAGTGAGTGATAATAGCAAGTTGGGGAAGAATATATCCAGAGTGATATCATTTACAAAAAGTTTTAAAACTGTATAGGTAAAATAATACTATATATATACACACACACATGATATAATTTATGGACACATATACATGTAGTAAAAGTAAACAAACATTTAAGGGAATTAGGAACATGAAATTCAGGATAGTAGTTATCTCTGAGAAGGGAAAGAGTGAAAGCTACACTGAAGGTTTCAATTGCTCAATTTCTTTAAAAAATATATTGAGAGCAAATATGGCAAAATGTTAAGATTTGGCAAAACTGTGAGTGGTTACATGGGTGTTCTTTATATTATTCTCTGTACTTTCTGAAACATCCTTAAAATACTTCATAACCAGATTATAATAAAAAATATAAATGAGTGATACAGATAAGTGACTCTCTCTAAACATGTCATAATATTCTTATTGTATTTCTAAATTCAATCATTTTAGTAGCTATGACCAAGCTAATTAAGTTAGGTAATAATTCCTTCTGGTATAGAACGAGGAAATCAGGGATTTTTTTCCCATTGAAAAATGTAGACTAATACAAGAAATGGCACACTAGAGCAAGCAAGCAAAATTTCATGTGTTCAGAAACCCTTTAGACTGCAAATTGTACCCAGGACATTAGCTACAAGATATTCTCTTCTCCTTGCTAATTTTGTTCACCAGTCACATATCAAATTATGAAACAATATTTATTACCTGCGTTGGTACACCTGGTACTATTTGAGACATTGTACTCAGATTCTAAAGAGTGTTAGATGAGGTCATATTTCTGCTGGACTGTTTAGCTACATTTCTCAAGTGATATTCTGCCTCCTGTTATTGGTAAGGGAATACTGATACAGTGAAATTGATGTGATCGAGACAAACAGCCCAACTTTCACCATCAATTTCCTGATGATATTGAAGGAGATCATATGCACATGAAATGTTACTGGCCCACTAAAAATAAATAGGCTGAATTAGGTTAAGGCCCCAATATGGACAAGCAAGTTAAAAGTGTGAACCACACAATTAACATTCTCATTAGCCTGGGGATATCTTTTTCATGTGAATAGTTGCACCAGTGTTTCCAACTTCCTCGTAAGTAGCTACAGATGAGCTGTTACCAACTGACCTGTGGAGTTTTTCATTTCAGTCAGACTGGTG